AAGGCTTTCCCCGTGGGACCCGAACAGTTCGAGGAGCAGGTTTATTGCATGTGCAGGTTCCAGCAGTTTCTTCACCACAAGGTTTGGAGTGGACCACTGGGGGGACATGCAGCAGGATGCCATGGAGGAGTTGACATCAAGAGCTCACGCTGGCAGATCCAGCGGATATATCGCGATGGCCATAAGAATCTCGCGAATGCGCTCAAGGCAGTATGTAGTTGTGCAACCTGGAGTCCCGGAATACGTTTCGAGGCAGGACTGAAATAACACTCCTTCTGTCCACGTTGTGGGAAGCACCATTGCGATGACTTCCGTAAGTTCTGGGGCGGCCCTCTCTTGTTCCAGGCAGAGCACCCACTCATCCAGACGACCGAGGTCCTCGTCGATACAGCACAGGGGGATGGCCAACTGGCGTGGCTCCGTGGACTGATCCCTGCAGGCCCAGCGCTGAAAGCAGCAGAAGACTCCACCCCCGAGCATCCCGTCATGCAAGGGACGGGAGGCCTTCCTGAGCCCTCCTGAGCTGAAGGGCGGTTGGCGCCTCGGCTCGGTGGACGGCTCAGGAGGGTCCTTCTCCGCCGATCCCCGCGCAAGGGTTGGGAACGAAGACTCACCCCTCTTGGGCAGCCTCAAGGGGACATTTGTGGGGCTTCAGATCATCACTCGTGCGACTCACCCCTCTTGGGCAGCCTCAAGGGGACATTTGTGGGGCGTCAGACCATCACTCGTGCCGGGCTTCAGAAAAGCCATGGAGCTCCTCAGGCACACTCAGGGTGACTTTCTAATGGTCACCGACTCTGCCGACCTTACCCGTGGGCACCTCAAGGGGCCTCGCAGGAAGATGCCTTCGGATCGTAGGCACTTGGCTTGGGTGCTGGAGAGTCTTGGGCGTGCGGGCTGGCCGGGCTAGGTACCTCAACCTCCTCCTCCTCCTTCTCCTCCTCCTCTTCCTCCTCCTCCTCCTCCTCCTCCTCCTCCTCCTCCTCCTCCTCCAAGGTCAAGCCACATGCCCCGGACCCTCGTGTACGGGACCGTCTTCCAGCCTGGGCTCGCCGTGCCACTCACTTAGCAGATGACTTGGCAGGTGACGCGGCCGCCCAGGCCGCCATCCCCCCCGGAGCTCGTGCAGCGGTATGTCCGCCCTGGACACCCCTGCCGACGAGATCCGTGGGAGGCCGGCCGCTCTGCAGATGACGTGGTGGACCAAGAGAGCTCTGGGGAGGAGCGCAGCGTGGGAGGGGGCGAGTGTCGTCAACACGATCAGAGGCCCCTCAGCCTCGAGGCGGGAGCCGTCAATTTATTCAGAGGAGGAGCAGGAAGGGCGCACGCATAAGCAGCAGCAGAGCTCGAACGAAGAAAGGACAGGGGAGAGACAACACGAGGACGGAAGCCAGGCAACGGAGACGAGTCGTTGCACGGAGCACGGGGCACTGGGGAGGCGTCGGGAAAATAAGTGGCACGAGCAGCGGAGGTGAGAAAGACAGGCAACGGGGAGTGGGCTTTTTCCAGCAGAGGCCTCAGGGCGAGAAGGGGTGCACGACGCCGAACGAGGAGTGGCAGGAGACAATCTCTGAGCCCGCGAGGTCGTCGAAGACGGCCGACCTGTGGCCACACACGAAGAGGGAGCCGCCATTCGCGTAGCACCCGCGGAAATCGTCCACGATGAAGTAACAGTAAGAGATCGTGGCGAGCGTGGGGAAAGCCCAGGCAAGGTCGGCGAAGAGCAGGGCGGGAGCGAAGACGTCGGGGAAATAGGAGTCGTCGACAAAAGGTGGCCACGACGAGAGCGTCTCACAGCCATCGACATCACGGAGCTGGGGACCTTGAACTCGCAGTTAACTCGAGCCTGGGGCAATGGGCTCGAGGAGCACCCAAGCCCAGGACTTAGCATTCCGACGCCACCAGACAGATGAGACAACTCCTCGCAAGATACTCGTGGAGCCTGGGAAGGCGGGCTCGAGGAGCACCCGCCACCAGGACTTCGCGATCTGACGCCAGTTAGATGATCGGCTGAGACGCCGCGCTCACTATTGACTCTTGATGGGCAGAGGCCAGAATTTCCATCCACATCCAGCAACATTGGCGACGACTGAGCCTGCAGCACCGGGTTCGAGGAGCACCCTTGCCCAGGACTTTGCGTTCTGCCAGTAACGTTGACGTCGCCACCGTCACTATGTTCAACACGCTCGGTCGTGGCAATCAGCGTCGACGGGGGGCCAGGGCTTGGCGTCGTAGGAACGAGCCGCGGTGTCAGGCATGGTGACCGTCCTGGGGCCAAGCCCTCATCGAGCACAGCAGCCCGAGCGGCATGGTCGACGTCGGGGTCGTCAGCCGAGGAGGTGGACAGATCATCGGAAACCGTGCGTAGCGTCGGTATGAGGAACGGCGGCGGCTTCCATTTCTTCTCCAGTTGGTCTGTTGGCGACGCCATTCTCAGAGTTCTGACAGCAGCCCGAGTCGCAGAGTTCAGAACAGTAGGGGAAACCCACTCACGATAACGGACAGTATGATACGTAGTGTACATCACCACAAGCTCCTCCACCCGTTCCACACACGGTGCCGTCAGGCAAAGTCGCTCATGAAGAAAGGTAGGGAGTGAGCGACCCAGTGCACGGCCGAGGGCTCTGGGGAGGAGGAGGAGGCGGAGGAGGAGGAGGAAGAGGAAGAGGAGGAGGAGGAGGAGGAGGAGAAGGAGGAGGAGGAGGAGGTGAAGTTCCCGCCGAGACCAAGAGAGCTCCGCGGCGGGGTCGCAGCGAGAAGGCCTTCCACCATCTGCTGGTCTCGGCCTCCCGCTGGCCCGAAATCCGCGGGTACCAAGTCTGCTGCGGCAGGTGCCACAAGAAGACCCAGAGGAGGTCCGCCCGCACGCTGGCTTCGTTCTTTGTCTTCGGCCCCTCTCCCCCTCGGCTTCCCAGGCGCCCAAGGGGTCCAAAGGTCAGTGGAGGTCTCCAGCGTTGAAGAAGGAGCCCACGCCATCCACCCCAGCCACCGACCCCATCTCTAGGTCTTTCGGGGGATCCTCTGGTGCCAGCGGTGTGGGTGCTGGCGGGTTCGGGCCTCCAAGAAATTCAAGGAAGCCTGTGCCCCCCTTGAAACAGTCAGAGCGGCGGACACAAGGCCATTTTAAAGCTCACCAGCGAGCAGCTCCCCCCAGGCCTCAAATATTCGCCTCAAGGAGGCTCGTGAGTCCCAGTAGTCCCCCTGGCGCGTATGGATCAAGACTGTCCTGTGGCGCGCGCGCGTATGAGGAGGAAGAGGGGGAGGAGGAGGAAGGGAACGATAATACACCCAAGATGCATCACCGATGCTGCAATGCACCCTCCCGTTCCGAGTCCCCGCCCACTACGTCCCTACAAGGCTTCCTTCTCGCTACACGAAGCGCCCCCGTTGACAAACACAGCACCTATTGGCTTGCCGTTGTGGCGAGGGCCCCGTCTTGAAGACGGACCGCCTCCGATGTCCCTGGAGCGCAGCCGGGAGCGCGGGAGACCACGACCGTACAACTCCTCGAGGATGGGCCCTGCGAGATCCCCCCTTCGAAGAAAGGCCCGCCCCCACCCGTGCCACTGCTGCACACGTTTGCACTTGTGCTCGCGAGCGGCGCGGAAACCTCAAGCAAGAGCATCACTTGCGCTTGAAAACGGCCGGCCTCGGTCCGTGCAGTGCTGCACGCGTGCGGAAGCCCTGGGCGCGGAAATCGAGGAAGTCCTGGACGAGAGGACCACCTCGAACGACAGCAGCCATACATCCATCCTCCTCCTCCGCCTCCTCCTCCTCCTCTCCTCCTCCTCCTCCTCCTCCTCCTCCTCCTCCTCCTCCTCCTCCTCCTCCTCCTCCTCCTCCTCCTCCTCCTCCTCCTCCTCCTCCTCCTCCTCCCCCTCTCTGTGCCTGCACCTGTTCCGCCTCATCTGTGTCGTCTTCCCCCTCCTCCCGAGGAGCCTTCCCGATCATCTTCTTCGCCGATGTCAACGCCGTCGTCTCCAGGGTCGGCGGCATCGGCCGTAAGGCCTTCCCAATAACAGCAGCCCTACATCCATCCTAGTGCTGCATGCTTTACCTTCGAATGTGCACGGGACTGACGCGACAGCCCACATGTGACAACGGCCTGTGCTAAAGCCACGCAGCTGCTACAAAATGTTGAGACGAAGGTGCGCGGCGCTGCGGCGAGAGCCACATTTGAGAACTACACCTCTTCGATCCCTGAACCTGCTGCAAAATCTAATACGAGCAGGCGCGGCGCTCAGGCGCGAGCAACATTCTGAAAACATCCCTCCTCCATCCATGAAACGAAGAATCGCAGCGCTAAGTCGAAAACCCTGTTTTAGAAAGAAGCCGGCCTCCATCGGTGAAGCTGCGCGGCGCGAGAACGAGAGCCACACTTTGAACATCACCCGTGCTCCATGCTTGAAAATGCTGCAAGATTTTAGCACGAATGTGCATTTCACCAAGGCAGGAGCTGCAGTTTGAAAACCACGGGTGCTCTATCCTTGAAGCCGTTGCAACCTTCCAAGACGAATGCGCGCGGCGCGGAGGCAAGAGCCCCATTTTGGAAACCATCCCCCTCCATCCAAGAAGCCTTTACAAATATCGAGATGCAGGATCATACGAGGTGAGGACGTCTTGAGTGAAACGCCCGACCCGCCATACCCACAACGTCCGGGAGCGTGACAGAGAGGAAGAGCAGAGATCCGTGAAGGAGGACGACGGCGAGGAGGAGGACGAGAACGAGGCCGAGGATGCCGAGGAGGGAGGCGGAGGCCGAGGAGGGCGCTCTTTGCGGCTGCCGCTGGCCGGCGCTCTGCCACACCGAGAGCCATATAAAGGGGCCCAGGGACGCACAAAGAAATACACACAAATCCCAGGACTCGCCATGGTTTCCCATATTATCTGGGTTTTCGTCTTCCCTCCCCACTTCCCATGTCTTCCAATGTTTTCCTTGGAATCGACAATTGATTAAGCCTGTGTGTTTTCCCCCCTCCTGACCAAAGGCGGAGGAAGGTGCCTTTTGCAACCGCTGCCAGACGGCGCTTTTTCATACCGAGTCGCTGTCCAACGCGAGTATCGCCTCCTGGAGGTACGCCCGGAGCAATTTCGCGGCTGGCATCTGCATGTCGCGCGGCACGCTGACGCGGTCGCGCAAGTAAGCCAGGCACCTGCTGGGTGTTGCCGGAGGTTATCCTGGTCCGAGGTGGCCCCACTCTCCCCAGGAAGGCCTAGGCGGCGGCGTCCGGAGTACTCGCCACGGGACCCAGAGACCCAAGGGGGCTCCAACATGGCGAGACAAGGCAGGCGGCACCTCTGGACAAAGGCTACCTCTGGCAACCTCCGCTGTGACCCCTGGGGGGACAAAAACGATACCGATACCGCGACTCCCCAGACCGACCTCTCACGGGGTGCGCTCTGACCAGGATCCCGATCCGAATGCAGCCGCGGCAACGTGGGACGGCTAGCGGTATCGGTGTCCTCCTGACCCCACCCCCAGCGGAGGAAGAAGGGAAGATCCCGTCCAGAGTGGAGGGATGGCCCCTCCGGAGGAGGGAGACCGGGACCTACGCCTTGGAGGTCCTGGAGGTGGGGGAGGAGGAGGGGTAGGAGGGATAGGACGAGGGGGACAGGAGGAGGGAGGACGACGAGGTGGGGGGGTTCCTCTCTCGAGCCCCGTGGCCTCCTCGCGGCGCGTGGCGTCTCCTCCTCCTCCTCCCCTCCTGCTCCTGCGGCTGCCGCTCCTCCTACTCTCTCCTCCTCCTCTCTCCTCCTCCTCCCTCCTCCTCCTCCTCATCCTCCTCCACCTCCTCCTCCCCCTCCTCCTTCTCTTCCTCCTCCTCCTCCCTTCTCATCATCATCATCATCATCATCATCATCATCATCATCATCATCATCAACATCCTCATCCTCATCCTCATCCTCCTCCTCCTCCTCCTCCTCATTATCATCATCAACATCAACATCATCCTCATCCTCATCCTCATCGTCGTCAGCATCGTCATCATCAGCATCAGCATCATCATCATTGCCATCATCATCACCGTCATCATACTCATCATCATCACCATTATCCTCATCAGCATCATCGCCATCGCCATCACGATCACCATCATCATCATCCTCATCATCATCAATACCAGCATCAGCAGCATCAGTACCATCATCATCATCATCATCATCATCAGCATCAACATCATCATCCACTCCATCATCAGCACCATCATCATCCTTCCTCTTCTGTATCCTCCAGTCCTTTGCTTTCTGAACAACCACTCCCTGTCGCACCCCAAGGCCCAAGGCCAGTCGAAAGGGCGGGCCAGGCATTTCGCTGACACGCCCTCGCCGCTCATGCTCCTGAAGCTCAGAAATTGGAAACACTTTCACCAATGGAAGGCGGGTGGTTTTCAAATTGGGGCTCTCGCCTTAGCGCCGCGCACAGCATCATCATCAACATCATCATCATCATCATCATCATCATCATCATCATCATCATCATCATCATCATCATCATCATCATAACATGCTACCAAAAGGGCTTCGCGCGCGCATGTTGAAATCGTTCGCGCGCTGTTGCGCGCGTGCTGTCGCGAGAATCCCCTGCAACAGCAAAAAGAACGCAATGCACGCGCGCGCGTCGTCGCGCGCGCATGCCGGAATCCGTCAAAAACCTTCGGTTTAGCAACGATGTCAAAACCGAGTGCTCGAAACAAATATAACAAACACAAGGTTTCGCAACATTAAGTTTCAGAAAGGCCAGCGCTCGCGCACTTGCGACTTCTTCAGAAAACCATTGGTTTATCAACGTTGCCACATAAGTTTGCCAAACAGGCCTCTCGCGCTTCATGCCGAAATCATTCGCACGCACTTGCGGGCGTGGTGGGGGGGGGGCACGATCCGTGTCAGACACTACCATGCGGTTCCCTCTGGCGCGTCGGCCGCGCGCGCATGTCGAATTTGTGTTCAAAAAACCTTCGTCACCGACGCGAAGACGCCGTCAACGTCGTCGGCATGATCGGCATCGGCGCCGTCAGTGGCCGCGCCGTCGTCGTTGTCAACATCGTCGCCAACATCGCTACTATCACCATCGTGTCAACCGTGGTCGGCGTTGCCATGATACCGCGCCTGCCCAAGTAACCGACTCGCCCTGAAGTGCCCGCTGCGGTGCGCCCAACGGTCAGCACCACCGCGGCTGCATCGGTCGCGCCAGACTAGCTGGCCGCTGTGCGCGCGTGCTTGGGTAGGCGCGGCCACAAGCATGCAAGTCAACTCCGAACCCATATCGCAATCGTCACCGCATGGGTTCTGCAAACAAAATTGCGGGTGGGTGGGCGGGATGTTTGCAAGAGTATGGAATGTGTCAAGCAATTCTTGTTTGAGTGAAAATAGGTTGCCTCACGTAGATTGCACAGCGTAGGTTACATGACAAAGTTTGCCGCGCGTAAAGTAGGTTTGTCATATTTCTTCAAAACAAAAAAAAACACCACCCTCCCGAGGCCGGATTTATCCACACCCCTCGGGGATGTGCAATCTAAATACGATTTTGCTCATCGTCCATCCTCGTAGGTATCATCCTAGGGACCGGTATCCCCCCTCATCAGCCTCTGCAAACAATACTATGCGCGCACTGGCTTATCAGAAAAAACTATTGTCATGCATCCCTTGCAGAAAACGAGACGAAGTGCGCACGCGCGCGGCGTCGCACGCGCATGCCGAAGTCTTCCAACAACCGTGAATTTCGTAAGGAGTTCAAAATCGAGTGCCCACAAGCACGTAAAAACGCACAGCGTCACAATCCTTTTGGGAAAAACGTGACGAAGTGCACACGCGCACGTCGTCGCGCGCGCATGCCGACATCCGTCAAAAACCTTCGCTTCGTAGCGAGTGCAAAATCGAATGCCAAAAAAAAACATACAAACACACATGGTTTCGCAACGCCAGTGTTCAAAACAACCCGCGCCCGCACTCCTGCGATATCGTGAGAAAACCTAGATGTTTCAACATGTCCATGCAATTCTGCCACACGGGCCTCTGGCGCCGCATGCCGAAATTATTCGCACGCCCTTGCGCGCGCGCTGGGAGAAGGGCAAGATCCGTGTCAAGTGCTTCCATGCGGGCCACTGTCGCGCGTCGGCCGCGCGCGCCTGTCGAACTTCTTCCAAAACCCCCACCACCGACGCGAGGACGCCGTCATCGTCGCCTGCGTGGTCAGCAATGGCACACGCACTGTCCGCGCCGTCGTCATTGCCAACGTCGTCGCCAGCATCGCTACTATCACCATCGTGTCTACCGTGGCCGACGTTGCCATGATACCGCGCCCGCCCAAGTCACCGACTCGCACTGACGTGCCCGCTGGGATGTGTCCAGCGGTCAACGCCACCGCGGCCGCGTCGGTCGCGCCAAACTTGCTGGCCGTTGCGCGCGCGCTTGGGTGGGCGCGGCCGCACAGGTCACAGGTGCAAGAACCAATGCCAAGCACTGATCGTAATCGCCACCGCATGTGTTTAGCAAAACCAAGCTGCAAATTGCGGGCGGGTGGGTGAGATGTTTGCAAGAGCGCGGGATACGTAAACCCGCTTGTGCAAATTAGTTCTCCCTTAGAGGTAGACTCTCCCCCCCCCCCCCGGCGTTATCACCCCCCCCGCGTCGTATGTCGTATGTAAATCACATCTGATTATGACCACATGTCCACCCTAAATATGAAATCGCAATGTCCCAGGCTAGCCGATTACCCCCCCTAAGGTTCCCTTGTGAAAAACAGTGTGCGGTGACCATTGTTGTTTTAGCATACCACTTTTTCGCAAACCCCTTGCAACAAATATGACGAAGCGCGCACGCGCGCGTCGTCGCGCGCGCATGCTGAAATCCTTCAAAAGCCTTCGGTGTCGGAAGGATTTCGCAATCTAGTTTTTCATATATAATAACCATATTTTTAAGAAAAAAGGTATCACAACACGGATTTGCTAAAAAAGCCTACGCGCGAGCTCTTGCGGAATTTTATGGAAAAAACCATAGGTTGTTCAATATGTTCACAACATGATATCAAACGGGCTTCGCGCGCATGTCGAAATCTGTCGAACGCCCTTCCGCGTGTACCGTCGCGAGAACCCTATGCAAAAAAAAACGAAGTGCAGACGCGCGCGTCGTCGCGCGCGTATGCCGAAACCGATCAAAACCCATCGGTTTCGGAAGGATTTCAAAATCGTCTGTCCAAGAAACCTACAAAGACCCAAGGTTTCGCAACACAGGTGTTCAACAAAAGCGTGCGCGCGGGCTCGTTCGTCGTCGTCGTCGCCGTCCTCCCTTCTCCCGCGTCGTCGTCGTTGTCGTCGCCTACGCCGTCCTCTGTCTTTCCTCGTGTTCGTCGTCGTCGTCGTCCATTGTGGCGTCGTGGTCGTTTCCGTCGTGGTTGTCGCCGTGGTCGCCCCTCCTCCTCCCTCGTCGTCGTCGTCGTCGGTCGTCGGCGTCTCGTCGTCGTCCCTCCTATTTCGTCGCCGTCGTCGTCGTCGTCGTCATCGTCTTCCCTCCTCTCTCGTCGATGTCGTCGTCGGCGTCGCCGTCCTCCCTCCTTCTTCGTCGTTCGCGTCGTCGCCGTCCTCCCTCCTCCCTCGTCGCTGTTGTCGTTGTCGCCGTCGTCGTTCTCTCTCCTCACTCGTCGTCGTCGTCGTTTTCGTTAGTGACGTCGTCGTCGTCGTCTTCGTCGTCGTCGTCGACGTCGTCGTCGTCGTCGCCGTCGGCGTCGCCGTCGTCCGCGTCGTCGTCGTCCTCGTCGTCGTCCTCGTCGTCGGTGTCGTCGTCGCCATCGTCGTCGTCGGCGTCGTCATCGTCGTCGCCGTCGTCGGCGTCGGCGTCGTCGTCGTCGTCGGCGTCGTCATTGTCGTCGTCGGTGTCGCCGCCGTCGTCGTCGAAGTCGTCGGAGCCGTCGTCGGTGTCGTCGTAGTCGTCGTCGGCGACGTTTTCGTCGTCGTTGTTGTCGCTGTCGTCGTCGGCGTCGCTGTCGTCGCCAAGAGCCATTTGGTATCCACCGTCGTGGTCTTAATAAGTCGTGCGATCAAGTTGCGGGTGGAAGGGTGGGATGTTTGCACGAGCAGTGAAGAGGACAGCTTCAAGACATTCGCAGTGGATTGCACAGAATATAATCTCCTTTCTAAAAAGAGAATAGACTCTACCC